CATCAGGATCAGGAAACCTCCCGAGCTAAACCCAAGTTGGATGCTGGAACCCATGAGCATCATCAAATGTGCTTGTCCTGGTTCTGCTGTTCTCTGAGAGAGTACTTGCATAAGAATTGGCTTATGTCTGCTGTTGGAGATAGGTAAATGGGCCAAGTGTATCCCTGGCCTGAACCAGTCTGACCTCTCCTGTATTCTTAAAATAAGGTTTGTTTATGAATCTTGGCCTACTCACAGTGAAAGTCCCTATTCAATCAGCTACAGCCAACCTTAGTAAGTCTTGTTCCTCTTACTGCACTGTTAGCTTTGCTAGCTACACCATCTGTGGTATTCGAAGATTTATGACACATGATAATGAAATACCTCTTCCTCACCAATTTTTCCTCACTTGGTCGTGCCCTTACCTAAATCAAACTTTATTCATCTTTATCTCTTTAGAAACTTGTTGCAAGCACTGTAATTTTGAGTAATGACTTTTCTTGTTCTTTATGCTAGCTGTCATATTCATTCTACTATACAGAGGAAATATTTGAGCTTGCCAAAGAAAAGAGCAAGAAAATTAATAGAAAATCCATGGGAAAGTGTTGTTTTCATCACAGCAATTTGAGAAGAGGAATTTCATTCTGATCCTGGTTAAGTGAATAAATCATCCACAGATCTGTAATGCCAAATCTATAAGTCATGTTCCAAAATACAGCAAGCCACGATCACAACCTTTGGACATTCTCAGAAACATCTTTCCTTCTTTTCCTTTCAACCTGGGGAGTTGTCCTGATAGTAGGTTTATCCTAAGTCACTTAGCAAGGCCAAGGAAATTCAATGGGAAGTCTCTATATTTAGCAGAGATTAACATGGTCAATGCTAACGTTCAGTTCCCTGGTTAGCTTAAAGTCCCTCCAATTTTCAGTAGATAGGTGTAGGTGAACACACCTAGAGCTGGAGGAGGAGGGGAACAGGAAGGGCTCGAGAAACAGGGTCAGATCTAGAGCCTTTCATAACATCCTTTCACCCTCTGCCTCCTGCTGCTGGTAAATCTGCACCTGAACAGCCACTGCTTTAAAAGAAAAAAAAGCTTCTTCTGTTTGGTTTTTTACTAGTAACACCTCAGGTGTTGAGCAAATGAAGACAAACCTCTGTGCCAGGGCTCTGTCTCTCTAACTCTGTATGTACACCAGCTAGCACAGTAGGAACCTGTTCTGTTTAGAACATACTACAGCATAAATGGCTGATACATCGGAAAGGAAGGAATCAACATTTTTCTATTACTTGTGTGGCCTCCTGAAATGATTAATACATGTTTAATGACTTCTACATGTACGCTGTGTTTCAATTAAATGTTTCTTTTTTAACAAGACCACTTAAAATTAAGTATGGAAGTGTGGCAGCCAGTATTAAGGTTAAATTTACTATAGTATTTTAAAATAACACAATAAAAATACTATGCAACACATTTTTGATGCCAAAGTTTTCGAGAAAGTCAAACCACTGAAGGGGTGGAAGTCCCTGGCAGAGCAGCTGGAACTGTAACCTGCAGAATGCTGAACCTGCTTCTGATAGCTTTTTTTTCTTTTTCTCTTTGAATGTGCTCATCTACTTTGTATTAGAGGTTAGTATGTTCAACACTGAAAAATCCACTGGGAGATGAGAAAGCAGGCAATTTTTTCTCATCAGGTCCCTGAGTGAAGGCTGTGACAGGGTGTAGATGTCCTAGTTCTGAAGTCCTGAAAGTCATGCTGACCAGAAACAATCACATGAGTTCACCAACCAGCAGTGATTATTCCTTGTTGAATAGATCAGTTTTCAGTGCAGTATGTTCTGATCATTTGTTTTCTTACACGCTGTGTACATCTATGGCTATTTAACTGATAAAAAATAAAGTGCTCTTTCGCTGCATTTTAATTGAATTCCATTTTCCATTTACACACAGTTTACAAATTATAATTGGAAGAGTGAATCATGTGGCAAAGAAAAGCCATTAAATTTTCTGTTGTAAAATGCAAAAGTTAAGAATCAGAGGCCAGTTTTATAGATGATTAAATAAAAACTGTACAAGCATGAAATAACATCTGGATACCAAAAAGAATTATATTTTGTAAGAGGGTATATTTAGTTGAATAAGGGCCTTTAAAATAAAGGAAGAAGAAAAGAAAAGGAAGTGTAAAACTGGACTAACATAGCATAAGAGAAGGCCTTACTCTTTTCTGAGAAAGGTAGCTAGAATTGGTAATGTAACTCAGAGACACAAACCAATCCACCCAGTCTGCTGATAACATGCACTTGTAGTTGTGGGTCGTAAACAAACACAATCTGGGCCTTGCAAGTGCTTTAGAAAGCCCGGGTTAATAATCAGTTGTCCAGGAGTCCCCTTTGACCTGCACGGGCCCTCCTTCTTCTTGGAACAAAACCACAGCAGCTGTTGCTTACATGAGCCATCGTGATGCGGTAACTGCACCCCTTGCTGCTGCCTCCCTCTGCTTTCTCACTGCGTGTAGCAAGAGCAATCTGTGTCTGCAACTTATGATCAGAGCAAATTAAAGAAAGCTGGGCAGCTGAGTTACTGAGACCTGCCTTGAATAAGGTAGAGAGAGATGACCTAGGGTTAGATGACCCTGACTATCAAGTGTGTCGCCTTGACAAATAGTAATTGCTTGACAATTGCTCTAGGCTTGGAAAACATATGTTATCATGTTCATGCTGTATCCACTGATAAAGATTGTTTTCATTACACATACTGGATATTTCTAACTCCACTGAACCTACTGATGTGTGAAAACAGAGATAAGTTCAAACTAGAGGTCTCAGACTTGAAAGTCTGAAACTTGAAAGTCTCCCCTTTGTTCAAGTTATTCCTTTTGGCTAGCGGATGTCTGTCTTTAACTCAAGAATCAGTCTATGGCCAGCAACTACAGTGGTCTTTGAAATGCCTTTTCTGTTGTTGTTGTTTTTTTGAATGGTGCCTTTGTTAGAGCTGGAGAAGTTTCAATGAAAGAATATCTCAGTTTTGTGCTTGGCGAATGCTATTGTATTAATGATCTCCTTGTATAGGCTTCAGCATTAAGGCTGTTGGATACATTAAAGAGCAGTCCACACTCACAGCTTAATATTAAGGCATAAGTTCAGCATTGATTGCATCTTTTGTACACTATAAGAACTTAAATTGTTTGTCCTGTCTTGTAGCAAAACTTCCTTTTTGAGCTATGGTCTGCAGTTACTGTCTCCTCCCCTTTTTAAAAGTTTTTATGACAACACAAACATGAGCCTCTTTCAGTTAAAAAAGATTTTCTTTTTTTTTTTTTTTTAAATAAACTACTCCTTTTTCTGAAAAGCTACCAGGTCTCTCCCTGAAATAATCTTATATTTTTATGTTTTTCCTTATACCTTAACACGTGTCAGCTCAGGCTGTAGAGAGATGTAACAGATAATATGAAATGGTTTTGGGGATATATATTGCTAAAATAATTTTTTTAAAAGGTAGGGAAGGCAGTGTACAATGTGTAGTACTTATGGGCTCAAGTGGTTAGAAAGGTATATGCTTGCTGTGTTAAAGAAAAGGCGGCAGGAGTCTGTCAGGGGTCAGTACATGGTCACTCATGACCTCAGGGGCATAGAGAGCTGGAATTCTTGTGACATGATTTGCAAGAGAATGTGTGGGCTTTGATTCGTCCATTTACACAGCATCAGAAAGCGAATAGGATTCTGTTTTTTTATTTGATGAAGACTTCAGTCATCCAACACAGCATCTTCCACTGAACTTCTTGTCTTTCCTTCCCTTCCTTTCATGTGCCTCTTGCATATTTCCAGCAGGCTTTCCCTCTAGAATGATGGATCTTATGCATGAGAAAAAGACAGTTTTGCTACTACTCGTAAATATGTTGTCATATGATACAACCCATCATTATTTTAATTCTTGCTTTCAAAAGAAATACCCCTATGTTGAAATCATGTACAACTACAATAGTAATACCCAGATCTAATATACAGCTTTGTATCTGAACATCTCAACTTTTTTTTTAAGCCTGTATGAGATTTTGTCCCTTTTAAAACTCACAGAGCTTGAACAGAAGTGGCTGAGGCAAGATTAAACAGCATTTATACCTTCTCACTGTTGGGCCATTTGTCAGATGATGCCATGATACAGCTCTTTTAGCGACTGAGTGCCACTGAGTAACAGCCCAGCATCTCTGCAGTGCTTTGTTCAAACTCTCCTACTGCATCCAAAACTTCCTCTGTTCCACCAGGAGGAGGCTTGTGGTTTCCTTCCACAGTTCCTACAGAAAGATCCTTCTCTGGAGGAGATTTGAGGGCTTTTAGTACCTTTTCCTATTCAGGTCTTTATATCTAATATGAAGAGTGTGGAAGACTGGTGAGGATTTGAATCACCATAATTTTCAGTTATTTTATGTGAAGATATGATACAACATAAGAATTCCTTTAAGGGGGATCTTCCTAGCTGGATTAGCCTTTTGACATTCAGTAAGCACTGCTAACTAGGCTAACTTGCCTCTGGAACTGTGATTTTTATATTTTGAAAAGACAAAGACAAGTTAAAATTTGCTAAATGCTTACTTCAGATCTTAGGTTTAGACTTTTTGTAACTTTTGCATATGTAGCCTTGGGACACCCTGTAAGCATTATTTTGTCTCTTCGATTCAGTGAGAGGTAAGGAAGTTTTAATTGTCCCTATCTTAGGATAAAAAAGCCATTGGTGAAATTCTGAGCCAGGGACAGAATTACATCCTGTGTTTGAACTCTCATTTCCAGACCTTGGCCAAAACACCATCCATCTTCCATCTTGATACAGATTTAACATCAGCTTTATGATTTAACTTTAAATGTCTGTAGGAGCAGTAAGTAGCAATCTACATTCGGTGGGATGAAAGAGAGAGCAATTCTATTCTTTAGTGTGTTAATCAATCCAGTTAATTTAAGTGTGTTCAGGAAGTTATGCTAAGTCGTTTAAATGTGGTTTTTTCTTGTTTTGTTTTTTCATTTATTTTCAGGTCTACTTTACCTGTAGTGTTGAGCTATTGTGATAGTTTGGTTTTTATGACTTGCATCAAGCATGAAGCTTTCAAAACCATGTGTCAAAGGTAAGTTAGTTCAATAATATTTAAATACATCCCTAAACATACTGTGCATTTACAGGGGAAGTTTTCATATTTAACTGTAGGCTCAGCTGTGTTGAGAAGCCACAGTCCTGCATACAGGATATTATGAAGTAGTATATGCTCCTGCAGAGAGCTCCGGGAGAGGTTTTCTCCCAGTGCTCCCCAATATACCGTGTGAGGAAGTGTGCGTACTGCACCAGCTTTTAAAACAGTGCAACCTGATCCTTTCTTTACAGCTCAAAGAGTGGGGGTGAGGAGCAGAGGTGAAAGAATGGGTGCCCAGATCCTCCTTCCCACTTTGGGTCTGGTTTTCTCTGTTGAGTGAAGAGAGCGTTAGATGTGCCTGACCGTTAGGAGGAAGGACACTCTGCTCTCATGCTTCACAGTTCTTGTGACATAGGCCAGGTTTAATCTAGTTCGTGTTAGGAGAAACTAACTACACTTAGAGGGTTATAATGAGCTTCCCCCTCATTTTCATTTTCCCTCACTGGTATGTAAATCGTTGTGTGTAAGGGATAAAAATCTGTAGGAGTTATGAAACCAAAGCGATTGCACTAATGTGGAGCTCCTTCTCCTTAGTCTGCAGTGTTTATCACAATGTTTAGTGTTGTAAAAACTAAAATGGAGTAAACTCCAAAAGAGACCATCTGACATTTCTCCAACCAACTACAAAAGGTAAAAATGATAAACTGAAGTAAATTACAAAACAAATCTTTATAAACAAAGGTAGTCAATTTGCAAGTCAGGAAATCAGCTTGTTGGAGTTTCACTTGTGAGTAGGGATTCAGAAGTTATCCAGATATAGTAGTTCATGGATTTAACTTGGAGAGACTACCAAAATTATAATTTAGTCAGTAGTTGTGACAGCCAATCAGTACACTGTCATACAGTGGAATCTTTATGAAATGTATTATTTGATAAGAAAGGATGTTAATGCACATACCACATTCAGCCAGAAACAAGGATACTAGGAGTCCTGAGAAAGTGCAGTGGTTTCAATATTCTGTTTTGCCAGCTAGTGTTGCCTAGTTTTCAGCATGTTTATTTTTCGCTTCTTTGGGCAGTCTAAAGGACACATTTCTCATCTGATTTCCTAACTTCCATTTATCTTTTACAAAATATTTATTTGTAGCTATAATCCAAGCTGAGAGCACTTCTTTGGTCTGTGCGAGGTGTATCTTGTGTATACATTTTACACTAATGCCCTGATTAACTGATGTCATCTATACATAAGCGGTACTCAAACTGTTAAACTGTACGTGTAGATAATGTTCATGAAAACTACTACAGTACTTCAAAATATTCTGAAAAAGTTTATTTCTTCTTATTAAGCATAAATGCCAAACTTGAAAACTGTTCTGTTAGACATCCATCAGTATAGCTGGAGACCCAGAATCCAGAAGTAAGGTTCAAGAGAAGGAACTGGGAAAACAGCACTTCTCCTTCTCAGATACTAGAAATGAAACCTGCATAAAGATTTCTCCAAGAATGCTATCAGTCTTCAGTTAGAAGGGTCATGCTATCACTGGCTAGCTGCTGGAAGGAAGAGAGAGTTTTCTTTTCTTTCCCACTTTCCATAAAACACCAGTTACTATAAAAGGATAGCTGGAGCTGTGCTGCTTTCTTCCTGTGCCTTGGGCTCCATTTTTAAAACTTCCCCCCCCCCCGGCCCCGTATCTTATCCATTGTGAATAACTACTGCACTTTCCTGCTGTTAATAGTTTTGACATATGGCTGCAACAATATAAAATGGACATTTCAGATAACTTAAGAGCTGGGTACAGGCTTCTAAAAAGCAGTAACTGGACTTGCAGTCTTGTTAGTTATGCATGGCTGCTGCTTGTTAAAATGCTACTGTGCAAAAGCTGAAACACTGGAACTGCCTGCTTGCAGAACCAGGAAGACTATGCTGTCTGTACCAGTCAGATTTCCAAATATAAATTAGTAACACCCTTCACAACTGAAAAGGTAGGAATATATTTAGAGTTTTAAACAAAAGCCGTAGAAATCCATAACACAGGCCTTTATGGTGACCAGAGAAAACTGCTTGTTATCATTAGAAATTATGAGGCTGCAGTTTTTAAAAGAAGTGGTGGGTGAAGTACAGAGTTACATAAAAAAAATTTAAAGTATCAGACAACCAAATGGTACAGTCAGAACGGTCACAGATACAATACTGCAGCAGTAGTTGACTGGTAATGTTTTTCAAGTGTGAAAAGGGAAAGGGATGGTCAGTCAGATAATCATACTCCAAATTATCCATTTGTGTAATTCAGTTAATCAAAAGAAAAACAGATTTAGATAAATTAATAATAAACAAGCCCTATTTTTATAAAACAAACAAACCAAAATTATCTTGATCTTGCAGACCTGAAAAGCCTTTGTATTGTAACATACAAATAAATGAAAACTACACAAAGCATATATTAAAATACAGGTTTCAACTTCCCAGTGAGTTAATACAGTTTCACTTTTCTCTGTACTCAACCCAACTCTAGTTGCCAGTGCTTTCTGACAGTTAAACCAGAAGGGGCTATCAGTGTGAGGAGGTACCTATGTGTGCATATATGTATCTATGTACCTCCTTCCTTAATGGATTCATTTAAGGCATACATGTATTACAGAGAAAGTATGCTGCTAATTTATTTGCTGAACACTAGTATCTTTACATGTGGGATATTGAACTGACAGGTTTTTATGATCTGTGGGAGTGTGACAGGTCTGTTGAACAACTAATGCTGACGCCAAGGCCAGAGTTTGAGAGTGAACTGGGTTTGCGGTACACAGAAACTTAGCTCATAGTGACGGGAGTTGGTTCCAGTTTCTGTGCCTCAGTCTATGAGCTACGTCCCTACCCAAGCTGCTTTTCCAATCCGCCTACTACACCCACCCACCTTTTGTTTTCAGAAAACGGACAGAGTTGGGGTTTGCTTTGTACTCTTGCCACTTTGATTTCGTTCTGGAACAAGCTCCCGAGCTGCAGAAGCAGCCTGGCAGCACCACTCGAACCCTAAGCACAGCAGAACTAGGGAGCCCTCCAGGAGCGGGTTAGAGCTCTTGGTCACTGACCAACCCATTGCTTATAGAAGTTAGCATGCTTCAGTTGACATTGATCCCTCAAGGGACTAGCTACCAGCTAAACAAAACTGGAGCACAGGGCTAGCTAGCCAAGCATAGATTCTCGGTGACCCTGTGTCAGGACCTGTGATCCTGTTGTAAAAGCCATTGATGTTACCTCCTTGCCCTCTGAGACTCCCAGGGAATCCCCAAGTAAATGAGGGGAGAGTTATTTACATCTCCTTCGTGTCTCCATCCCAACCTCTTTTGTTTGGTTTGTTGGTTTGTTGTTTTTTTTTTTAAGTGATGGAATACTTTAAAAAAATTACTACTTGTTCCTTTGTGAAGGCTTACTACAACAAAGCAATAATAATTTGCCCCATTAATTATAGATAATGGAAAATGTGTAAGTATCTACATGGTTAAAGTGAGCAGCATACTGTCGCTGGCGGTATCATGGCTGTTGCATACAGCCTGGAAAGGCAGACGCGCTTGAGTTTTACTGGTGGGTTACAATATTTAGAAGCTAGGAGACCTATAAAGTCAAACTATTAAATATACCGAGGGTAGAAATGCCCGTTTGCTTGTGCAGAGGAAATAGAGCAAAGATACACCACAGCAGCGAGAGCTAGCAGGACAAAGGAGATACTATTGACTCATTCCAGACTGCCGACTTAGCAGCTCAACTTTGTTTCCTTTTAACTTTTGTAACAGTAGGAGCTCAAAGCTTCTCAGTCTATTTTCTGCACAAATAGAAACACCCAGACTTCAAAAAGTAACACACTTTGAAGAAACCCAAACCATTAACACATGAAAAACTGTGTGTGCTGCTAAACAGGGCTTCACAGTTCCTTGGATTTGCAGTGAGTAAATGCTGATCTTTACTATTACCCTGCTGCATTCTGGCAAACAATTCTCGACACATTTCTAAAACACTTTTTTGTTGGGTTTAGTGTGATATGAATTTATTGACTTTGCAGTAGGTAAGTACTACTTCAATATTTTCACAGGCTAAATAACCCCCCCCCAAACCCACTTTTTCTCTCCCCCAAGTAGCATATTGCAACAAGTTTCTGACCCTATAACATTGCACTGGTAACACCGGGGGAAGCAGAGTGTGTACGAAACCGAGATTTTGTTCTCGGTACTTAAATGTATTTTTCATTGAATATGTATACATGTATATAAAAAATAGCTTTTTATTGTCCACTCTGGACAATGACGTGTTCAAGGCCACCAATGTGACATTTTCTCTGTGCCAGCCCCACCGGGAGCATGTTTCAGACACAGAACCGGCCCCTCGTGTCCCCGCTTGCACCCAGAGGGAATGCGCCAGGCTTAGGCGGGGGTTTAACTTCAGAGATCTGACCCGTTTACAAACACACTCTCTTCCCTCGCAAGAAGTCGCTTCTCGAGCGTGTAGCATGCGTTTGAAACGTCATAAACCGTCACAAAACGTCATAAACGCCAATCAATCGGCGGCACCTAAATCACTCTCATGCTGGAGGGTCTAAGTTCTGTTTAACTTCTGAAGTATTTAGTCTTAGGCTCGGCTCTCCAACCCCCTTCAGCAGGGGAAACCAGGCGGGGCGCCCGTGTTCTGGCCTAGGCGTCGAGGCCCGCGCCCCCCCCCCCCCCCCCCGTTAGTGAGGCTGGCTGTCAATCATGCTACGTCACAATACGCCTGTGTGAGCGCTGTAAACAGTCGGGCGGGCGTGTGTGTGTGTGAATGACGCGGGGGTGAGCCTCACCCCCCCGTCGGATCGAGCGCACGCCCGATCGGGGGGGGGGGGGGGGAGAGGCGCGCCCCCCTTGTTTCCCTGCACTCATGGTAGCGGCACTAAAGGTAGCATCACTGGAGCAGGGGATGATGTAATTCTCCCTCCGGCCAGTAACTGCCTGCGCTAGCACCGATCCGACTGGCA